CTAGGATCCAACCTCCTTGGAAATTCGTCTGGGCCGTTAAATTGGAAGCCAGCCCAGCCCAAATCCAGCCCATTGATTTTCTTAATAATTGGGCTTTACCTTGACATGTGGCCTTACCCTATTGGTTTATTTTAGGTGTAAACAACGGGTTTTGGTCCGAATATACACCTAACAGCAACTTTCTCATTCATTTCCTTATCTTGTGCTCAAGTCGTTCTACTCTCATTTTAAATCATAACATTCTGAATGTTTGCGTGTTAAAGTGGTTAACTTTAACCAAAAAAATCAATTTTAGTTGCTTATGGCTCCGAAATAACATTACTTAACCTTATATCTAATAACCTTATACTTATACATTCATTATTTTGCAACAAAATTATCCCGTACCATCGTTAGATAATTTCAGGCAAGCAATCGATGGTTCCGGGGTTCCAGGAGACTGTAGTGTCGATGTACACGCAATTGGTTTTTGTAAGAACGAATTTGGGGCACGAGAGAATGGTGATATCCTTAAATGAAAATAATAAAAATGTGCACAGGGAGAAGTTTATGGAATTTTTGCAATATATTCGGACTAAAAACGGTCTGAAAAAGAAAAAGCGAGGAAGGTTCTAGATTCTACTCATATATTTAGACCAAAATTGGTCCATATATATCTTTATACCATATTTAATATATCTTTATAATTAGAAAAACCATGATAGACATATATCTGGATCGATAACGGTTTGTATATTCTTATACGAACCGATTTTGGTCTAAATATATACCAACCTACAGTTTTTTCATTATTTTGCTTATCTCATGCTTAATTCATTATACTATTGTTTTCAACCATAACATTCCTAATGTTTACATGCTAAAGTAGTTAACTTTAACCAAAAAAATTAATTTTAGTTGCTTGTGGCTTTGAAATAACATTACCTAACCTTATATCTAATAACCTTATACTTATACATTCATGATTCTGCAACAATATTATCCCGTACCATCGATAGATAATTTCAGGCAGGTAATCGATGGTTTCGAGGTTCAAGGAGACTGTAGTATCGATGTACACGCAATTGGTTTTTGTAAGAACGGATTTGAGGCACGGGAGGATGGTGATGTCCTTAAATGAAAAGAATAAGAATGTGCATAGGGAGAAGTTTTTGGAATTTTTGCAATATATTCGGACCAAAAATGGTTTGAAAAGGTGTAAGACGCATGTAATATACGTTATTTAATCAATCTTTATAATTAACAAATTGTAATAGGCATATATACGGACCGGTATTGGTCCGTATATATTTTCCATACATATAACCAATTGTTGTTCCCATCCGTCCACCAAAATTTCAAGAAATTATCAAATTAATTAACTATTTTCGAACTGTAGTCGATCCATAAGGTTTTGCCTCTTGAAAATTTCACTGAAAATTAAACTTTTCTAGGATTGGCGCTTAATTATTTATTTATAGACCGGTTTCGGTCCGTATATTTTGCCTCCAAAATTTTGCTGGGAATTAAATTTTTGGTAAATTACAGATCGATTTCAGTCTGTAAATGTTTGCCGCCTAAAATTTCCAGCAAAATTGAAGCTCTCCGTTGGGCAGTTATCTAACACTTATTTGTTATATTCGAACCATTTTCGGTTTGTATACAACCTATAAATAACCAGCTCCTTCTCATTTATTTCCTCATTTTTCTGATTTCTCTTCTTCTTCTCTTTCTTTTTCTTCTTCATCTCCTTCGTTTCTGGGTATTCCTTCCTCTTCTTTCTCATTTCCTTTCTTTTTTCTCTATTCCTTTTACTCTTTCTCTTTTTTCCTTACTCTTCCCCTCTCTTTCCTCTCTTCTTTCTCTATACTTCTTAATATTCCTTTCATTTTTCTTACTCTTATTATTCTTCTCCTCTCTTTCACGTTTTTTTTTTTCCTTTGATTTTTCTGTTTTTTACAATATTTTTTATTCCACTCTCATTTTTTTTGTTCCATAATATGTTTTTGATATTGGTATATTTTTATTATTTATAGTTTGTTTACTAACTTCTTCTTCTTCTTCTTCTTCTTCTTTTTTTTTTGTTTTTGCAAGTTTCATATTATAAGAATTTGGTAAATTTTAAATTTTCTTATATAGAATTTGGTAAATTTTAAATTTTCTTATATATATATTTTAATATTTTTTATTTTCTTTTATATTTATACTTATTTGGTTTCTTTTTCTTTTGTAGGAAATGGAGAAAATTTCAAGTAAATGGATTATAGGTAATGATTTAATAAATTTTTTTATTTTGTTATAATTTGTATAATATATTCTTTAATTTTTACTTATATTTTATACTTCATTATTTCTTTATAATTATAATTACTATTGTTGATATTTTTAAACTTACCAATATTATATTTCACTTAATTTTTTTTATAATTTGAATATAATGTAATTAATATTATATATGTTTTAATTTACTATATTAAATAATTAGTATAAAATTAATTTATCCATATATACATATATTTAAATTTCATAGAGATATTTAATATTTCATTAGTAAAATATAATTTGCAATTTGAAATATTCTGTAAATAATAAGAAAAATAAATATATTTTATTTCATTTAATAATAATCTTCTTTTATTCTTTTTTATTATTTGTTTTAACTTTAATTACGGACCGAAAACGGTTTAGATATAATTTCGATGTCACAACAATATGGTAACAAATGTTTCAAAATTTACATCTGAGTCCAATGTGTACGGACCAAAAATGGTCTGGATATAATTTCGATGTCACGACAATATGGCAGTAAATATTTCAAAATTTACATCTGAGTCCAATGTATACGGACCGAAAACGGTCTGGATATAATTTTGATGTCACGACAATACGGCAGCAAATATTTCAAAATTTACATTTGCGTCAAATGTATACAGACTGAAAACGGTCTAGATATAATTTTGATGTCACGACAATATGGCAGCATATATTTGAGAATTTACATCTGAGTCGAATATATACAGACCAAAAACAGTTTGAACATGTATAATAAACATACAAATTAGCAACACAATTTTTAAGAGTTTCAATTGAGTCCCTTATATTTAGACCGTTATCGGTTTGAATACAGTTTTCGTTGCCATTCTAGCACGCAATTTTTTCATTGTTACAAAAAACTGTATATATTCAAACCGAAGTTGATCTGAATATATTTTCTATAATTATTTTTCCTGATTATTTAGATCATTTGCAGTCTATAATTATGAAATTATTTATTGTATTCTTAATATCTGGACCATTTTCAGTCCGTAAATTTTAATTTTATAATCATGCCCTTCATTTTTTTACCAAAGTATACAGTCTGGTTGTGGTCTAAATAGTTTAATTTACAGACTGATTTTTTGTTGGTCTGTATATTTTATTTTTTCATACCATGTTTTTTTGGTTCGATTATATGGACCGGTATCAGTCTGGATATTATTTTCCAGACCGATTTTTGGGTTATCCAGACCAAATTTTTGGTCTGAATATTGATTCCTTGCAGTAGTGCTGGACACCCATTTTACACATTGGCCTTACTAGTTTGCTAGACAAAAACCCATGTTTTGCCTCTTACCTTATTAATCTTGAGAGGTTTGCCCTATGCTTTAATGTCTGGATTTTTGCCCTTTAACTTATCAATTTAAGCAAATGAAGTAAAATTTAATGTTTAATTATACGTGTAGCATGTGAGCATCAAAGCTTTGTCACACAACAATATTGTCTTATCTCAATTTTGTTCGGCTCAAAATCTCAATTTACACAATAATTTTATTTCCCAAAAGGTTTAATTGCCAAAAAAAATGTTTTATGGCGTGTTTGGTAACATGGATTTGAAACAGTGTATTTGAATTTGAAAGGTTAAAATTCAATATCACTGTTTGTTTTTACCTAAATAAAGAGTAATTGAATTTAAGAGAAATACATGTATTTCAGCAAGGTAATGCCAAAGAGTACAACACGTGTATTTCAATTTCACTCTCAAACCCATGAATTTCAATTTTGAAATGAATTTCCTTTGCACTCTCTCCTCTCACCAACGGCGATGAGGCCTTCATCGTCTGCCCATCATTGACTTTGCCATTACTCTTTCACCATCATCAATCTGCAAAATCCACCCTTTTCTCTGGAACTAAACACACACACAGACTAGAGACTACATTATGATCTTTGGAAAGTGAGGGAATATGAAGTCTCTCCTCAATTTTCACTTGCTAACTCATCGTCTTCTTTGGCGCCGACGTTTCACGGCCTATATTGGCTAAGATCATCACTAGCGCGGTTGTTTCTTATTGCTACTAAGCCTCAAGTATATGTATTAAGCAAATTTAGTTCTGGGTATTTGTTTTTCTATTTGTTATTATTGGGTATGGCATGAAAATTGCTTGCCCGTTCTATTTGGTTTTTGAGAAAGTGTGTTATATTTGAAATTTTGTTGCCAAATATATTGATTTACAATTATGAAGCTTTGGTAATTTGTTAATTCTAGGTTATATTTATTGGAAGTTCCATTTCAGATAGTGCACCTCTTATAAATTTTTTTGGTACATTGTTAGTGGGTATCAACTCAATTCAGCTCTTGTTCATGGCATGTCTTGTTACAATTCTTGTTCTATTGGATTTATTAGTCATGCGTAGTATTTTCTGTTTGCACATTTTTTGTGAAGCAAAGTGGGAAGAAAGTGTGCTTATTTTACTAACTTAGGCCATAAATTTTGTTTAATTGTAGATTTACCAGTTTTGGTTTTCGAGACCTTAGAGGAGAACCTTTGAATGTTTGGGATAATGGGATGCTCCCTTCTACATATATTGTGGATTAGAGAAGTATGCTACTTCAACAAATGCAATCTTTCAAGTGTTATTGATGAGTTGAGTGGGTGTGTAATGATGCTTTATGATGCTTTGAGGTCTTCATACATGCTACATTAACCATGGGCACATATTTGGTGGATACATATACCATCTGTTTTTTTTTTTTTTTTGAAAGGCATATATTTACTATCTTGTGTTTTAAGGATATTTATCCTTGATTTGTTAGTTCTAATTTGGGTCTTTGTAGGCCTAAATATTTCTTAAGTTTGATGTAGCCTTGTCAAGGTAGCTGGTAAGATCTAAAACACAAGGTTTGTTTTGATGATCGTCCTTGGCAAACCAATGTTGCATTTTCGATAATGTTTCCACGGATTTGCTTGGTACACTTGCATTTTTATATGGTTTATTTGGTTATAGAGTTGATGCTCTTCTAGAAGTGAAGTGACATTATTTCTCATAAGGAACGTCAATTGCTTAATTTTCTAGCCCTTTCTTTTTTTCTTTGGTATGGATGGGGTAGTGCATTTGGTGGCACAATGAAATGTGATTTAGTATAATGATCATTTTCCATTCAATCATTTCTACTTGTAGTTAATGAGTTAAATAGATAATTGTCTCAAAAATGTTTGAGAAATACATCATGAAACACTAGGAACAGCAATCAAATGAAAACAGTGGGAAATTGTAGAAATCCCAAATTTCTCAATGGCGGCAAAAATCAAGCAGACAGCAACAACACCAAGCACAAAATTGATGTGGAGAAAGCAAAAATGGCAATATCATCAGGGAAAGAAAATCAAAACAGGAGAGAACTTGAAAGAAGGGAAGAACTCACTCGCCCACCATCCCTTTCTGAAGACATCACCCCTGTTTTGGGGATGTGTATTTTGGGGGTACATGTGGAGTGGGTTGTACATGTTTTTCTTCATGAATGCATGATAAATTTTTTATTGGTTGCTTTTACAAATGAACTATCGGAATTATTAACTCAAGCTCTTTCCTTTCTCTTCTCTTTCTAGAGTTTTCCTTATCTGACTTTTTGAGGCATGACTGAGTGTCAAAAATATATTAACTTAGGGTAATAGTAGGTTTTGTTTCTATAGGAGAAAAACTAGGGAAGAGCATTCAAGATCATTTGAGATACTACTTTGTTCTTTTGTTTTTCATATTGAAATTCTTTCATGATAAATCCATCTTTACAAAAATTGAATATTGTTTGACAATGGAAAAAATGAACAAAAAATGGAGAATATGATGAGAAATTGATCAGTGGAGGTCATTGTTCCTTTTTTTTATCCAATACTTTGTTCTTTTATTTTTCATATTGAAATTCTTTCATGATAAATCCATCTTTACAAAACTTGAATATTGTATGACAATGGAAAAAATGAACAAAAAATGGAGAATATGATGAGAAATTGATCAATGGAGGTCATTGTTCCTTTTTTTTATCCAATTTGTTTGTCTTGAGGTAATTTAAATTATGTTTTGAAAGACTAAAATTGTTAACTTTAACATTATTAAATTTAAATAATAATTAAAAGATTTAATTTAATGAAAAAAATTAAAATTTAAATACATAGTATTTTAAAATATCCAAACAATGTATTTAAAAATGTATGTATTTGAAATTCATTTTTTTAATTCAATCCAAACAATGTATTTTAAAATACATGTACTTCAAATATATGTATTTTAATTATATTCATCAAATTCAAATTCAAGTTTCCAAACACAACCTTAATGAAAATGGGAAAATCAATGAACCGAGGTTAAATATGGGAAACATCACTAAGTGCAAATTTTAAATCTTTGACATTCTAGAGCCTAATTGAAAAAAGGAAAGAAAGGAAAGAAAGAAGGACCAACTGAGAGCTTAAAGCAAAAGGAAGGCAGCGGAGTCATTTCAAAACTTTGAGGACTTAATTTCAATTGCACCATGTTAAAAGAAGAACAAAACGCGTCCATCTGGTGTCGTTTTGTCCATTTTCTTCCTCCTTAAGCCCGATTAGGGCTCTAATCTTCGGTACGCCCCAATGGCCGTTCATGGCAACGCAGATCAGAGCCTAATCACTGGTTAAAGCCGGGGAAATCCTCAAAAGCGTGGTAGCTTCTCCTGCGATTGTACAATAGACAGCTCAAGGGGACGGGCTGCCTCACTTCTATTGGCCCAACGCATCAACGAGGACGGAGTACTGTACCTAGGCCGTTTTGTAGTAACGGTAGAGATCAAGAAAGGGCAAATCCGTTGGCCGAAATTGGGTTTGATTTCCAGAAATAAAAGCCCTGTGCTTCAGCCGGCAAAGCTGGTCCGACAGACGGCGGAAGAGAAAGGTCCGACGGGGGAGAGACAGGTCCGACGGGGAAGTGAGAGATCCGATTGAGAAAAATCAGGGAATAGAGAGAGAAAAATCAAAAAAGAGTGAAATTTCCTTTTGTAATCGGGAAAAAAAAAAAATGAGTGCTTTTGGGTGAAAAGGAAAACATTGAGTTGTAAACACTTGAAATTTCAATCAAAAGTTCTCTGTTTTCAATCTATTTCCTTTCCCTTTCTTTTCTGTGTTTTTTCGTTGGGTGCATTTGATCTTGTTCTTGCAACTCACGGTGCTGTTTGGGAGTCGCAGTAGCATTCAGGAATCAGGCGGAAGGCATTTCGAGTTTTAGTTCTTTCTCGACTCGGATTCTGCATCGTCTCTGTAGCCATCTTGTTTTCCTTCTCTTTTCTGCTCTGTTTCCCGATGATGCTTAACCGAACTTGGATTGGTGTGGGATGATGAATGCTCTGATAATTTTCTTTTGTTTGAATATGATTGAATGGTTATTATCTCAAATTCCTTTTATGCTTAGTCACCGAATCGGTGTAGAAAGACATGAGTGATTGCCTTCGGTTTTAGCCTTCAATTTATGTGCAGATTTTTGTGTCCGTTTTTGTTTGAATGAGTTTCTGGGATGAGTGAGAATGAAATTGTGAAACTTTCATGCCTAACCGCTTGGAGATATGCGTGAAAGCACTTTCTTAACGTGCCGCTCATTTTTTGACGTTTACATGTTGTGTATGCATTTTAATTTTAGGGTTTTTTTAATCTGTATCTCACATCTTGAAAAAATAAAAAATAATATTTAATTTATAAATTATTTAATTAAATTTATCATGTAATATATATATTTTTTTGATGGAAAATATAACTGTCATTTCTTAAAGAGTAGGATCAGTACATATAGCTGAGGGTAGGGTGTCCACCCAAACTCCTTCCCACGGTGATAAAGTGGGAGACAAGTTAGCTATCCTATGAGCGATATTATTTAAATTTCTATGTATATATTTGAAAGAACAGGAACCAAATAATCTGATACGTTCCTTAAGATCTTCAATGAGAGCCCCATATGTTAGGTAACACTCATTTGAGGAAGCTACCACTTGCACAGCATTCAGACTGTTTGATTCAACAATGATACTGCTGCAGCCAAATTCTTTCCCCAACTGAACTCCAAAACAGATTGTTAGGATTTCTGCATGGGTGATGCCACCTTGAGAGCTCATGGTTTTTTTGCCTGCACCCAGGACTCTACCATTACCATCTCGAAGGACGACGCCAAGGCTGACCATGCCTGCTTGACGTGGAATACTAGCATCAACATTAATTTTAACAACACCCTCCGATGGCAGAGTCCAAACTGTTTCTGCAACTACAGGATTATGTTTTACCTCCACCAATCACTCATCATCCACTGTGGTTGCAGCTTTGTACTCTTCTATATAGTGTTGAATATTCCGAATACTCTTATCTGGTGAGAGGCAAGTATGGTTATATATGCATTTGTTCCTGTTATTCCAAATATACCAGAGAGTTACAACAACTATCTCACGGTTTGCTACACTTGTTGCAAGGAAAAATGCTAGGAAGTCATCCAAAAATGAGTTATGTTGAATAGAGTGCAAAGAGACTGTAGGAAGGACTCCTTTTCACACTTTCTTACTCCATTTGCAATCAAAAAATAAATGAAAACAAGATTCCTCTGTTGTACTGCAAATACCACACCCTAGTTCAACATCAATACCCTTCGAGAGCAGGATATCATGGGAGGGCAAAATCTCCCAGATTATTCTCCACAAGACATGCTTGATTTTAGGGGGAACATTTAAAAACCAAACTGCTTTCCATACTGGTAGTAAGACTTGGTCATGATTGTGATGCTCAGAACCAAAGCTCAACTGCCATGCATATTTGTATGCCGATTTAATTGTAAATTTGCCATTATTTGTGCCAAGCCATATTAATCTATCAATAGAACAACTTCTACTAATGGGGATATGAAGAATTAACTCAGCATCCTCGGCACATAAAGAGTGCCTAACTGCAACTTCCTTCCAGCATCCTTTGGCTTCATCTATTAAGTCACTGACTCTATCGTCCAAATTGTGGTGAACAAGAGCCATCTGTGACTGAGGAATGGCTCCTGAGGGTAACCAATTATCCCTCCAAATCTTGACATCCCAACCACTGCCTATTCGCCATGTTGAGCCCATTTTAAGAATGCTGAGACTAGCAATAACGCCTCGCCAAAGCATTGAAGCATTGGTCCTCGTATTAGCTCCCATTATATCACCATCAGGAAAATATTTAGCTTTGAGCACTTGATAGCATAAAGTGGTCTTGTCCTGCATCATACGCCAGCTTTGCTTGGCTAACATAGCTAAATTAAAAGCTTTGAAATTCCAAAATCCAAGCCCGCCAAGCTTGTTTTTTTTGACAAATTAAATCCTATCGTAACTAGTGGATTCTCCGTTTATCAGTGTTATCTCCCCACCAAAAGTTGCTTATGATGCTATTTAGTGATTGGAGAAAATTTTGTGGAAGCTTGAAACAACCCGTGCAATATGTAGGAACAACTTGCACTATTGCCTTAATCAAAATTTCCTTCCCAGCACAGGATAACAGTTTAGTTTTCCATCCCTTGATTTTAGACCAAACCCTTTCATGGATAGAGTCAAAGCAAATGGATTTCTTTCATCCAATGATAAGAGGAAGCCCAAGTTATTGGTCATCTGTTATCACCTGCGATATATTCAAAGTCTGCATGACCTTATGTTGCATAGCAGGGGGAGTATTGCTACTGAAAAAAATAGAGGACTTATCAAGATTAATTTGTTGACCTGAGACTTGTAATTTATCATGTAATATTAATTTTAAAATTAATATTTATTTTTAATTTTTTATATGAATTTATTACGAAAATCATATTTAATCTGTACCTAAAGTTACATATTAGAAAAATTCTTAATTCTAAGATTGTGGATTTTCTACGTGTTTAAGTGTTTGCTGGTAGTGGATTCGGTATTGGATTTGCCATCTAATTCGTGGAGGTACCGTTGATATCTCGTTGATGTTTTTCTATTTTTTATTTTTATTTTATTATTTACTTATTTTTTTAAACTGTAACAATTTGGAGATGGAGGAAATTTAGCATGGAGTACCATGATTTGAATTTTAATTATTATTAAAACATTGAATGCACCAACAAACTAATTTAAAAGATTTTTTTATTTTTTTATTTTTTAAATTCTGGTTTAAGTATCTGTGTGGTGGTTTTTTCGATTGATGATTGCTGTGCCGATGTCACAATTGCAGAAGGTGCTTATTTAGACCAACATTTTGGTCCGAATATCTCAAAAATTGGTCTGAAATAATATATGTAGACCGATTTTGGTCCGTATAGTTGATTAAAAAAAACATAGTATGAAATAATAAATATCCAAATTGAAGGGAAATTGGTCCATATAATTAAACTATTTAGACCAAAAATGGTTTGGACATATTGGTAAGAAAATCTAGACCGACATTTTAAAATTGAAATAAATGGACCGTAAATGGTCTGAAAAATGGGAATAAAATAAAATAATAACATAATCACAGACCAAAAATGGTTTGAATATTTAGGAGGGAAGTTGTTATAGAAAATATATTCAAACCATATTTGGTCTAAATATATATGTCCTTATCTACAAGGATTTAAAAGTTGGGCTCCTATATGGCTACTGCCACTAAGTATATTCAAACCGAAATCGATCTGAATATATAGGACTAAGTGCCAACTTTTAAAAGTTCTAGTGTCAATGTGTCTGTTTCTGTAAAATATATTCAGACCGTTGGACTTAGTGGCAACTTTTAAAACTTCTAGTGCCTATGTGTCCATTTCTATAAAATGTATCCAGACCATTAACAGCCCAAATATATCGAACTCATATGTAAATTTTGAAATGTATGTTGCATATATTGTCATCACATTAAAGTATATTCAAACCAATTATGGTCTAAAATAAAAGCTTTTAACCCAAAAAAAAAAGAATAAAAGAAAACAAAAATAGAATAAAATATATTTATTTTAGTCATTAATTACATAATATTACCAAATGCAAAATTATATTTTCCAAATCAAAATATATGTGTTTATAAAGAAATAAAATAATTTTGTACTAATTACTTAATATAATAACTAAAAATATGTAAAATGTTAATTACTTTATAGTTAAACTATATAACAAATAAAAATAAATTTCAACTTTATTTAATATGCTAAATTATCATAATTAGACAAAAAGAACTAAATACATAATATTTTGAATTTAGTTAAATTAAAATTTCAAGCATACAACATATAAAAATAAATGAGAATATAATGTAATATTGGTAATTTACAAAAAGAAAATCAACAATAATAATTATATAAATAAAGAATAAAATAGAAATATATATCAACTACAACTATATAAATAAAAATTAAAAAATATATAACACAAATTACAACAGAATAAATAAAAATATTTATTAAATCATTACCTATAAATAATTTACTTTAAAATTTTCTTATTTCCTACAAAAAAAAAGAAACAAAATAAATATAAATAAAAATGAAAATTGAAAAAAATATTAAAATGAACATATGTATAAGAAAAAATTTAAAGTTCACCAAACTTCCAAAATATGTAACCCACAAAAAAAAAAAAAACGAAGAAGAAAAGTTAGAAAAAAAAAGGAAGAAAAGTTAGTAAACAAAATATAAACTAATTATAACTAATAAAAATATACCAATCTCCAAAACAACATAAAATTTTAAAAAAAGTTTCATAAAATACTTATGGAAGAAAAATAAAAAGGAGAGTGCAATAAAAAAGATGGCAAAATACAGAAAAATCAAAAGGAAAGAAAAGATGAAGAACAATAAGAGGTGGAGAGAAGGAAGAGAGGAAAGAGAAGAGGAAGAAGAATAAAAGGAAAGAGAAAGAAGAGGAAGGAAAGAAAGAAAACAGTAAAAAAAAACTAGAAAGGGATGAAAGGAAAAAGAGAAAAGAAAGATAGGAAGAAGAGAAATCAGAAAAATGAGGAAAAGGTTGGGAGGTTGCTAATAATATATAGGGTTTATACGGATCGAAATTGGTCCGAATATAATAAATCAACGCCAACCCAGCTGAAATTGGTCTGAAAAAGGGGAAATTTTGGTAGCACAAAATTACAGACTGAAATTGGTATGAAAATAAATAAATGGCACCAACACTGATTACCAACGAAAAGCTTCAACTTTTTTGTGAAATTTTGGTGGTATAAATTTATGGACCAAATTCGGTCTAAATATTTAATAATAAAATAAGACTTGGTTAAAATTAGAATTGGTTATATTCTATGTTCGGACCAAAAAATAGTCCGTATATATTTGTTCGGACCACAAATGGTCTGAATATATAACCAAAATCTAGAAGCTTCTCTTAGCACACTTTTTTATTATTTTCGTTTAAGGACATAACTATCCTATCGTGCCCTAATTCCATTGTTACGAAAGCCAATTGCATGTACATCGGCACTACAGTCGTCCCCAACCCCGAAACCATCAGTTATCCACCTAAAATTATCTGATGGTGATGTGAGATGACATCATTACAAAATCACAAAAGTATAAGTGCACGGTTATTAGCTTTAAGGTTGGGTCGTACCATTGCAGAACCACAAACACAGAGTCTTAAGATTATTTAGGTAAGGTTAGCTTCTATGGCACTCAAACATTTGAAATCTTGTGGTGCAAAAACTGCAAACTCGGCATATATTCAAACTGAAAACAGTACGTAAATAGTTTTTCAAACCATCTTCGGTTCGAATATATACCCAGAATCTAGAAGCTTCTCTCAATACCCTTTTTTATTTTTTTCGTTTATAGACATCATTACTCTCCCATGCCCTGATTCCATTGTTAAGAAAGCTAATTGCATAAACATCGACACTATAGTTTACTCCAACCCTGGAATCATCGGTTGTCCATCTGAAATTGTCTAACGACGGCACAAGGTGATATCATTGCAAAGTCACAAATGTATAAGTTTAAGATTATTAGTTTTAAGGTTTGGTTATGTCCTTCCGGAGGCACAAATGTGAAAGATTGAGTTTATTTGGTTAACGTTTGTCTCTTCGGCATGAAATGATTTGAAATCCTACGATTAAAAACAAGAGCAGAATGAATTGGGTGTAAAAGAAGGCAATAGGTGTAAAAGCTGCAAACTGGCTATATATTTAGACCAAAAACAATTCGTTTATCGATATATGGACTGAAACTGGTTTGTATAAGTTATAAAGACCAATTTCGGTCTGTATATCAATGCGGACTCTGAATCACATGATTGAGAGTCTTTATGGATATATGGATTAAAACTGGTCTGACATAAAAATACAAACCAGTTTCGGCCGTATATCCATGTGACAACTCAAACTTTTTACGGAGTTCTCGCATGGATATACAGATCAGTTTTGGTCCATATATCCATGTGGGAACTCACCTTTTACGGAGTTCTCTCATGCATATATGGACCAACATCCATCTGTATATGCATGCCGAGACTCCATAAAAAGTTTGAATTCTCGTATGCATATATATACCGATATAGGTCCATATATCGATGTGGGAACTCAAACTTTTTACTGAGTTCCAGCATGCATATATGGACCACAATCGGTTCGTATATGCATGATGGAACTCAATGTTTTCATACGCATCTCCACATAGATGTACGAACCAATATCGGTCCATATAGGTTATACTAGTCTGTATATCCATGTGGGAACTCTATTTTTATTGGGTTGCCACATGGATATACAGATCGAAATCGGTTTGTATACATTATCTGGATCGGTTTTGGTCTTTATATCCATGTGAGAACTCAGTCTTCTTCTCGAGTTGGCACATGGATATACGGATCGATTTCGGTCTGTATATCCATGTGCCAACTCAATGTCCTTCTTGAGAGTCCTCATGGATATACAGACCAAAACTGGTTTGTTTATCTTATATGGATCGAAAACGGTCCGTATATCCAAGAGGACTCTGAATAAAAAGATTAAGTTATCGCATGGGTACATGGACCGAAACTGGTCCGTTTAGTTTATAGGGACCAAAATCAGTCCGTATATATTAGTTTTTATTGTAATTTGATTTTTGTGATTTGTATAGAATTTAATTGCTATTTAAAGTAAAATATTTGACAATGTGAAAATATTCTTACATAATTTATGATCTTTATCATATAAAAGGAAAAAAAATTTTGTTCATTTACTACAAATATAAGTCTCCAATGTCTACTACAAATATTAAGTAAATACAAATATTTAATCAAAATATAAAAAACCTACATATCTTGTGGTGTCCTATGGGTAATAATGCCACTGGTCTCCGCTAGGGTCATCCCTAAATGCTGGTAGAGTTGCTACATCTGTGCAACAAGGGTCACCTGTGTCTGCTGTAGGCTCTCATTATATGCCTTTAATGCTTGAATAGTATGCTTTAATTCCTCTACCCTACTAGACTATTCTATGATGGGTGGCCTAAATGGTTTCCATCTAGATGTGCTCACATCTATATCCTGTGGATGTGTGTGAATGTCCAGACTTTTTAGCCATCCTTTCTTGACCCCACAAGTTGCCCTAAGTAATAACTCACCATGAGCTATTGTAGGGTCAAAACCTTCTTCCTTTTATCTGGCAGCATATTTAGCTGTCAATTTTTCCTGAAATCATCTAAGACAAAATAAAATGTATTTAAAATTAAAGTGAAATTTAAAATATCAATTTAGGAAATTAAACAAGAATTATATAATCAATAGCTTTTCCTATTCAATAAACTTCTTCAACCATTCAAAATTCAAGCTTAAATTTGATAAATCATATTATTAAATACTTATGCCAATTTCTTGACCCTCCTCATTATAATATACAGGCACTAGCTCTTTTCCTTTTGCTTTGTGCTGCCTTCTATTGGTATAGAGCTCAGGAAATGTCAATGGATGACCCCTGGGGTTTTGCCTGTTGTTGCAAAGAAGAAAGAAAGACCAAATATTTAAAGTAATATAAAATAAATTATAAATCATACTTTATTAATTATTCATTAAAATTATGTTAACTTTTATACTAATTTCTTTCTATAAGTATTGATGTCCATTGAACCACCGGTGTGCGTCACCCTCAGCCCTTTTGCCCGATTTGCCTTCACAGAATTTGACGTTCTCAAATGACTCTCGTCCTGTAAAATTGGTGAACACATATTTTCTTAATTAGTAATATGATAAAAACATTAAGCATTACCATTGAAAATTTAAAAAATAATAATAATAAACACATGAATTTACTCCATTACCTTAGTCCATAAATGAACAAGCCTCGCTCATAACTCTGGATTCATATTTGGAGGCTTAACTCAAAAGTTTTTCTTTGCACACTTAACTTTCAACTCATTAACTGCATGCTTGAACTTGATCCTTGCTGTCATTTTGCACAAATCTTTTACCTTTGTATGAATCGTAGGGTCCCATTCATATGTTTGCCAAAAAAAATAGAAATATAAATAAATAATTAATTTAATAAAAAATTATTAATGATAATAACCAAAGAAATTCAAAACTACTTAAAATTTGAAGATAGAAATTAAGTGTTTAGGGCATACACAGAATATATTCCAGTACATTTCTCGATGCTCAGCAAGGACTTGTCCCCATGATGTATAAGCATCTGAGAGATTCTCCCAGAATTGAATCACAATTTGTCATCTGACCTTTTGTGGCAAACCACCATACTCATCTAGCTCTAATAGGATCTTTGTCCCATTGTAGGCATCTGCAGGGGCTTAGCTTGCCGCCATCCATGTCTTTATTGAGGGGTAGCCACATTTGTCTCCTCATCACTAGGAGACTTAGCCTGTATATCAGCATCTGAAGCTAGAGTCTTCAGAATCACATCAGTTGGATCCTCCTCTTGAACCTGCCTCTAGGGGTCAAACGGATTTGGCCGTTGCAACGGTTGAGTGGAATCTACAGTCTCCATGCAACGAGAACTATAGCAATTCACTATAAAAAATATAAAAAATACAAAAAAAAAATCATTAATAAGGCAATTTAAATGCAATAAATTTATATTAAAATCACAATAAAATTTAGAATACTTTTAATTTCTATAGATAAGCAAATAATAATCAAATTATATTTTAGTTGAATAACATACGATATTATATAACATCTGTTTGTGAGAATACAAAATCTAAGAAAATCTTTACCCCAACATTAAATTGATTGTTCCAATACGTCATTTCATCTTGACGATAATACATCCAACTTCAATCATCTTCCATAATTAAGTAGTATGTGCCTTAAAAATTCAACAATATCTTAATATTATATAACAAGTATTAGCATCATAAATAAAATTCACACAATTTTTATCCTCTAATTTTTTATGCACCTTTTTGGTCCTTCAATTATGAATAACGTACATTTTAGTCCTTCCACCAATTAGTCTATTAAGTTTGTTTAGCACATCGATGGAAGGACTAAAAATGTAAATTATTAATAGTCGAGGGACCAAAATAAGCAAAAAAAAGTTGAGGAACGAAAATTGTGTAAATCTTAAAGTTGAGGGATAGAAATTAGCATTTAACCTTTTAAAATTACATATACTACAATAATATAATTACACTTTTAACCAACTAAAAATATGCCTAATTTAATTGATCTTTATAATTAATTAAAAAATAATGAAAGTTAATCTGTTGTATATTAATTATTATCATTTAATTTTACAAAATTAAATACAATAAAAAATGTTGTTAAAAATTTTTAATTATTAGATTTTAATTATTATAATTTAATTTGTTACATCTTAATTATAATATAATTTAATTTGATATAAGATTAATTACACATCAACAATAATATATTAATTATTATATTTTAATTTAATAAAATATAAATGTAATATAAATTTAATTTAATTCATATTCAATTTTTATATAAAAATTGAAGTTATCAAACATTTTAAATTATTACTATAAATATATTTAATTATAAATATAATAAAA